ACAAAGGAGCAGTCTACGAGAATGAACTGTACAAAGTGAGAGGGAAAGTCTGTTTACCCAAGTACATGTACCCAGCAGTGGTGCAATGGGCCCACGGAAGTGGACACCTGTCAAAGAACTTGATGAATTCACTCATCAGCAAGTACTACTGGGCCCCTGGAATAACTACAGCGACCAAGAACTACTGCAATTCATGCACAATATGCGCCAAATGCAACCCAGGGAGGATGGGGAGAGCACCAAAAAAACACCTGGCCAAACCTCTGTACCCATTTCAAAGAATACAAATAGACCATATCCAGATGCCAAAAAGTGGCCGAAATGATTAAGAAACTCCTGTCTGAGGTAGTGTGCAGATACGGGGTTCCAAAGAAATATGGGCAGCCCTGGGGACCACCTTAGCCTACCATATACCATACCATCCTCAGAGTAGTGGAAATATTGTTTGGTTCATCCCCAGACTTGGTTGTTATTTTCCACAACAGTTACAGTTGCAATCTGATGTGTTAACAAATTATGTGACTGCATTATCACGTGAATTAACCCGTGTCCATGCACAAGTGTTTTCTTCCATTCCAGATCCTGAGTCAGATACCGGGACTCACAGCTTGCTACCTGGAGATTGGGTGTTAGTAAAGAAATTTGTGAGAAGACATTCCCTTGAACCCAGATATGATGGTCCCTTCCAGGTCCTGCTAACCACGGCCACATCTGTCAAGTTGGCCGGGAAGAACCGTCTACGCCTTTCCATTCCAGATCCTGAGTCAGATACCGGGACTCACAGCTTGCTACCTGGAGATTGGGTGTTAGTAAAGAAATTTGTGAGAAGACATTCCCTTGAACCCAGATATGATGGTCCCTTCCAGGTCCTGCTAACCACGGCCACATCTGTCAAGTTGGCCGGGAAGAACCGTCTACGCCATGATGTCCATGATATATATACTTCTTCTGATGGGGTTGGTGGGAGCTCAACAAGTAGCCATCACACGAAATGACAAGTCACAGACCACGTTCTGGTACAACTCATCCACCACACATGTAGCCACATTACCCACATGTATACATAGATGCCATAGGAGTCCCAAGGGGGGTCCCAGACGAGTTCAAGGCTCGAGACCGGGTAAAAGCAGGTTTTGAGTCCTTGATTCCCATAATTACTGTCAACAAGAGCGTAGATTGAATAAATTACATATATTACAACCAGCAGCAGTTCATGAATTATACCACAGGTGCCCTGCAGGGAATTGCTGACCCCTCTCTTACATGACATTCCGAAACAGGATGGCCGTAGACATGATTCTTGCGGAGAGGGGGGGGTATGCAAAATGATTAAAGACACGGGAACCTGCTGCACGTACATCCCAGACCATACCGGCCCAAATGGTAAAGTTACCCTAGCCATTAAGAAGCTAGCAGACCTGTCAGTGGAACTAAAGAAGAATTCAGGTATCACAGACCTATGGGACCAATATTTTAATTGGATGACAGGATGGCAGAAAGCATTAGCCCAAGTAGGTGTGGTGATTCTCATTGTTCTGATCTTTATCAGCCTAGTAGTCTGCTGTGTGATCCCCTATGCCAAGAAGTTAATGGCCAAAGCGATGGATGAGAGTACCTTGACCCCAACCATGATACAGGTAGAAGAGGACACCTACCTGAGTGATGACGAGAAACCATATTCCCCGTTACGATCCTTGTCCCCCAAATATAATGTTATAACACCTTAGGTTAGTGAGAGTAGGGACAAAGAACACCTTACAGTGCATACCCACATGTCGGGACCAGAGGTGGATTAGCCCCTCGGACGGCCCCTATGCATGTTAAAAGAGTTCCAGGGTGTGTGCCAGGTGATAGGCTAAGGGACAGGAAAATGTATCCACATAGAAATAGCCATTTTAGGGGGGACTGTTAAGGAAAATGGATCATATCAAGAAAATGTCCCTTTCTATGTTTTGAATTGTTTTGAATTAGTTTCATTTGCTTCCTAGCTTTGTGACTTTCCTTACTCAGCTTTTAGCGTTGCTATGCGTAACCAAGAGATATAACCTGTATTCGGGAGCGCGCCGAAGACACATGAAAGGAATGCCGAGGGAGGACGCTACAGGCAGAAGATATCTTTGACTAACCAATTAGCGAGAGACACAAGACTTTAACTAACAGCTCATCTAGTTTGCCCAATAGTACAAGACATTTAGAGATAACAGAGGTGGGCATATGTGTGACGAACACTCTCCTGTTATCTGTGTATAAAGGAGAGAGACCGCCCTTAATAAAATTAGAGCTTTCATAGACCGTTAACTCTGAGTTTGTGATTTCTCCGGTGCACCGAACACAACATAATTAGGAACAGCAGCAGACATCTTGTGTGAACCCAGTTGTGGTTCAGATCCATTTCAATGTGTGCACACCTTCACTTGAATATGGTTTCTTAAAAATAGAGTGATGGTGGGGAGCGGCATGGGAACTGGAAATGGAGACAAAGATGAAGAGGAATGGCTGGTAGGAACTACTGATAAGGCAGACAATGGTGGCTAATCATTGAAGGAAGGGAAGCCGATGGGGATCAGGGAATGGAGACAAAGATGGAGAGGAGTGAAGAGCAGAAATTAATGATAAAAGGGACAATGGGAGTTACTTGTTGGCTGGTTAGCAGGATGGAAACTGATGGGGTAATGGCAAAATGTTGTACCCATATCATTCTCTGTACTTTGTAGAGTCTCAAATGGGACTTTGTTCTTGTACACATCTTTTCTATGTAAATTATATAGGTGTAGTCAATGGACTACTAAGATGGCTTTGGGTGAAATGCAATAAAGGGGCTTCAGGTAGACATAAGTGTTGATAAAGATAAAATAGTTGTTTAAAGCTCATGAGAATAAAAAATTTATTCTAAATACTTTTATTGATGTTTTCATACCTTCCATGCTGGTCTATTCCTGAATAATACAACATGAAAGGTATTTCCTTCCCTGTTCAGTTTATGGCATAGATATTGTTGTAACAAGATATTTAAAAACTTGCAGGGTAAGTAATGGTTAGGACAGCTTTATCATCTGTTATGCAATATGCCTGTAACTGAACCAAACTCCGATACACTCTGCCTGTCCTTGGTGCTCATGTGATAGTTGGAATGATACCAAGCTTCACCGCACGAATAAATAGAGCAGTTTGTGGCTTGGAGATGGTACAGAAAGATTATTGTCAGAATGGCGGTGAATGTTGCAGCAACACTTCTCCTTGCTTCTGGGGTCATTCTCCTGATTTACCTCATTAAATGGTGGATGAATGTAAAGAAGAAAGACTTACCACCAGGGCCCACCCCTCTGCCACTTCTGGGGAATATCATGCAGATTAGTATCACTGAATTGCCACAGTCTCTGGTCAAGGTGAGCATAATTAAGCTGAATATTCTAAAACAATGTTTTGTATTAGAAGGAATCTGTCATAATGTCAGGAAAAGATACAAACTAGTCTGAAATCTTTTCAGGCTTGTTATTCACATGTATATCAAAATGATGGTGAAAACTCTAAGAATAAGCAAAACGTACGTCCATAGTTTAAGCAGGCCTCAAAAATGATGAGCTAGGCTGCTTCTCCAGGTTCCCGTGAAATCCCTTATCTGCACACCCCCTCAATGGCCACTGAGGACCCCTAACTTATAAAATCAAGTGGCCAATAGGGAGACGCAGAAAAGAAAGCAATGGGGAAGGGGTGTGAGATGATACAACCCTGGTCTCAATTACCTGTGTATAATACACTTCCCTCGGTTTGGGGGTAAATTGGGTAACTGGAAATAAATTCATGAAGTATGATTGTGGCTGCTCTACAGTCCAAAAACAGTCTGCAATATAAGATTTATACTGCATGTTGCATACACATTAGGGGGATTTATTGGCCTCTTAATATACACACAATTTTAACTTATATTTAAAAACAATCTCTTTTTTTAATAATTCTATAAAACAAGATAAAGGGCTAATCACCTGATTTATAAGATATCTCATTAAAGTGTTTTCCTCAGCTCCCAATACATTAAATTAACCAGCAATGCATATTAGAAGTCACACATATCTAGATACATATTCCAACAATTTCAAAATAATTATGTATTGTGAATCCATATATATATGTTTGGCGGTATTCCAGTCAACAGTTCATTCATTTACTTGACCAATGTCCACTTCTTCAGAGGAATATTAAAGTGTTTGCAAAGGCACTTTTTAAAGTTGTGGATGTAATGTGGAAGAGAAAGACCCTCTATCAAGTTTCTATTATTGTCTTTGTCCCCTTCTCTATTTGTCCAGGTGACCATTGTCACTGAAAGAAATTGAGTGGAAATCTAAAAATGTTTGAGCTCACCAGCACAAAAGGTAGAGAAAAATCCTTCAATGGAGGAAACTCAATATGAGAATTCCCTTTTCTTTAGAGAGATTTCCTCTAATTTTAGGTTAAGTTTCCAGGACAGGGAAGTGGATCTCCCCAGTGGGATGCACACAGTGAAACATACTGTAACTTGATACAGGATTTAACCTTTCCTTACGCAGCCAGTAGAAATCACAAAATGGGATTCACAGGTGAAAAGGACTGAGATCCTGGCACATTAGTGATGTGAGTGTAGGCAGGTAGATGTCTCGCCATGCCTTGCTCTTAGTGAAATATCATCTTGCCAATCAAGACATTTATTAGATCTAAGAACATTAGGTCATATCCGTAGAGTCTCAGCTCTTCTTGAACCTGTACAACTCTTTTTAAAAACACAAATCTCTATCAACAGCTAAGTGAAAAGTACGGACCTGTGTATACAGTCTACCTGGCCAACAATCGATCGGTCGTGTTGATTGGCTATGATGCTGTGAAGGAGGCTCTGATTGATCGCAGTGATGTGTTCAGTGAAAGAGGGGAAGCCGGTGTAATAGAATTATTCTTTAAGAATTTTGGTAAGATACTAAAAACAAAATAATAATTCTCAATTATTTGTATATGTTTTCATTAGATACTAACTTGCTTTTTGTGTCTTGTAGATACACTTGTACCCTATAAACCAGCTACAATTATTTAGACGGATTTAAACTAGTACCTTAAAACTAATAACTTTAATTACTAAAACTGTAATCATTGTAATGCCAAGGTCTTATTAAAGGCACACCCAAGTCAAACTTAAACATTTTAACATGGAAGCATTCATGGGAAACCAAATCTTCCTTCTTTTTTTTTTTTTACCTTTGCCAGCAACTTAATCATGATGCTGAACCAAGTTTGCACTCATTCCACCTGGTCGAATAGATTATTTATGTGTAGTAACACACTTACAGGAGAAGGAACACACTTACAGTTGTTGTGGGAGAAAGGGAGGTCATATGCACAGACACCAAGACGCTACACATGCTGGTAAGCCATTAAAGAAGTAACTAGCCAAGTGAGCATGTGTGAGTCAGTGTGAATCCAACTTACCCAAAGTCTGATTATTATTGTTGGCATTGGCTGTATTGTACTTCCCTAACTAATAAATGCTTTAATAAATCACTCAATTGTATGGCTCTATGCAATAGGCGCTCCTTAATACGCAAGCAGTATTTATCCATCTGATAGATGGCATCCTCATCAGTATCAGGAGTTGAGCAGCCCACGACCCAAAAATGGGTCTCATATACCACCCTCCCCATGATGGTGTACCTCATACAAGGTATACGATTTAGAAGCAATCTAGTCCTACCATCATTTGTCCAGTGCTACCACCACAACCTACTAAGTGAGATAGATTGGCTGGATTACTTAGAGATTTTTTAACAAGTTTAAAGAAGTCAAAACTTTCACTGATATAGGTATTCGTCTTGTTCATGTATGGTGAGCCTATGGCATCTGGATCAATCTATACAGAAAGTAGAAAGTAAAGGTAGAAAACCTCTAACACATTAAATACACATGGGAGCATGTGCCCAAAAAAGAGCAGTTATCATCTGCTTCCTGAAGGGTGTTTTTTATGGGTGTCTTTAGAATCACTGATCATTCCATTAACTGTACAGGCTCCATGATGCATAGACAAGCTAACGTTCCAATGAGGCGCACAGTATTTTATTTCTAACATTTATATAGCATAGACATATTACTCAGCACTTTACAAAGTACATAGAACCATTCACATATGGCCCGGTTTTCAAAGGAACTCACAGTCTAATGTGTCTTTTTCACCTTTGAACAGAACACAACAGTTACTTGCGATTATCCTCATAAACAGTGTCACTCACAGGGTAGCTCTGGTAACACAGGTTACCAGAGCCAAATAAAAGGGATCCATGGCAAAATGACAGAGGGTCACCCCACTGGAACTAGAGTACTCTGGGGACTTCTGGGGAAGTTGCATGCTATAAGGCTCCAGGTGTCTGACATGGAGGCCTCTCCCCTGGCTGTAGATTAGTTGCTCAGCTACCTCAGACTCATTAGGTGTGACTTCCCTGAGCTGATAATTGAGGGAACCTGATGAATTTATACTCAATGGGCATGTACAGGAACCCCTGGGAGATGTGGGAAATTGATTTAAAGGGGCCTGAAAGTGCATCTGAGCATAGTGAGTAAATGGAAACTTCACTAGGGAGCCAATTAACCCAAAACACTACATTTTGGAACTTGGATCAAAGAGAGGATCCAACCACAGGAGGTGCATTTTCTTGCTGTGTTTGTCAGTATGAATTCAGAACAGAGAATATGTTCACTTTACTGGGAGCTCTGCAATTAAATTATCCCACAGCAAACCCAAGCAAAGACAGGAAGAACACACAAGCTCCATGCTGATCATGTTCCTTGTGGGATTCATGATGAGGACAAGTATTTATTACACTACTTAATGAAATACAGAGGGAGTTATTGTTTAAAATGTTGAATGTTTAGTAGTCTTCAAGAGCAATATGTATAAACCCTTTCAACGTTTTTAGGGGTCATCATGAGCAATGGAGAAAGATGGAAGACAATGCGTCGCTTTTCCCTGATGACACTGAGAAATTTTGGGATGGGGAAGAGGAGCGTGGAGGAGAGAATCCAGGAGGAAGCTCGGTGTCTCCGACACAGATTTATGAAGAGCAAAGGCAGGTGCAGATAATGCGGAATTAGTACAAGAGTGACCCTAAACACACTTTTACATAGGAGTATCCAGTCTTTTGATCAAAACTATTCATTTTCTTTAGGGCGGCAGTGAATATATCAGCTTTTTCTGGAAAACAAAATCAAACATTATGGAAAGCCAAAGTAGTTAACAATGTATATTACGAAAGCATTTCAAAAATGAATCTCTTCTGTGCTAAAGTTCAGCTTTAAAGCTGAGCTCCAGCCTCAACGTTCAAATTGCACAATCGTACAGGCTCCTCTCCTTACTAAAATTGCTCACTCTGATTTCAATGCACACTAAGAGCTTCCCCACAATGTGCATTAGAAGCTGCAACAAACTAGATAGTGCTCACCTAATTTCCTGGCTGGAAGACATCCTGAATAATCAATCATTTTACTTCCCAAATTTATTGTTCTTTGCCCGCCACTTTTGTTCATTGGACATCAGTTATTTCAATCATGGATGCTTCGAGTCACATGTGTATGAAGTCTGCATACAAATTCAGCCTGGCTAGAAATGCTCACTCCTCCAAATTCATAAAAAATGGGCAACTTAGAAAAAGGATTTACCATGCAGCCTCTGAAGAGGGGGCAGGTCAGTAAAAAAAACAATGTACACACACTCAAAAAAAGCATAGAAGATGCAGCAACAATAAAGTCTCTCACAGCATGGTGTAATGTGGGCAATCAGTGCTGACATGATTTAAAATGCTAACCTCTACGCAGTTCTTGATTCCCAACAATATTAAAGATGTGTCCACATGCTAATACTCTATATGATGATAGATTGCCCTATGTAGTACAAATTACTTTCCAACGGGAATCCCCTTTAGGCACACTGGAGCTGAAAGCAGAATTATGGTAAGGTCAATAATGTGGTAGGGTTCAGGTTGAGTGTCCTAAGTATCGATTGAACAGGATAGGGCATCTACTTTAGTGTTCTTTGTCCCAGGGCAGAAGGTGACAATGGAAAAAAATAAGGTGCAATAAACTCTTCGAGGATTAAATCTCTGGGCAGATTAGAAATACAAGATGTTCTTGTGATCAGTGTACATGGGGATAGGAAAGAGTGCTCACTGAAAAAGGAAATGTCTTTGCTCAAGGCACATTTTACAGCGAGCAGCAAATGATCCCCTATGGAGTAATTCCCTGTGGGAGAGAACTTTTTGGAAAATAAACCACTGTAACATACCCGAGTTGCTCCACTGAGAAAAACCGGGGGGGAGCCTGCATCCAGAAGAATGGTTTTGTCAGTGAATAATAGGGCATAAGAAAATCAGAGCACGGGGGGGGGGGGGGGG